ATAAGCAATTAAATTACGTTGGCCGGCACCTTTATTTATATGCTGCATCGCCTCAGGCCAGCCTGCAAAAAACAAACAACAACAATAAATGGCACTGCTAAGTAGAAAATTTCCATTAAAATGGAATTATATGCGTCAAAACTGAATTTGCATTATTTAGCGAATGCATTTTATTCGCTCATTGTTATGCACCCCCAACAAAATGGCTGCCATTGCAATCGCTAAATTGTTAATTACATGGAATCTACGTAGCCAAATTGCATGCGAATTTTCCAATTGGTTTCGCTTCCGCACGCACAGCTCAATGCGATAAATTCAAATAAATACCCATACACAAACTCAACTCGAATCCGTTTAGCTTGTCAATAGAGCAGCAACGAATCGAGGCTTACGACATCAAAAAACAGTAATTGGCATATGTATATAGATACAGCCGATGTTTGAAGCTGCACTGCGTGTTCGGGGCAATTTGTCTCTCAGCTGATTTTGTTGATTCACGCTACATTATCATGATTTCATTTAGCCTGTAAACAAATGGCCAAACAAAAGTCCTAACATCTGATTTTGTTTTGTACAATAAAACGAGCTGAATACACGAGCGCATAAAAAAGGAATGCAAAAACTCTCATACTGTAATTAAGAGGGTTGCACTGATTAAATTTTATAAAATGGCAACCCAGTATAACAATAAGATTGATTTTAAATATGTTTAGAGGTAGACTACACAATGTGTAGCTATTAGATAATAAATTAACTTTTATTCATTATATAAATAACCTGCCATTATTTATTTGATTTATGGGAAAACAAATTCCTATTAATATGCCGGCTTAGTAAAACGTGTTTTAAACAATCTTATTGAAGCAAATATCTGTTTTAAAGATTAAAACAAAATTAAATAACTCCACCAAAAGATAGAGATAATATCACGGTTTATAAAGTCAAAGTCCAAGTTAAAGTAGATATTTTATCTTTCTCATTAGATTTGTCATCTTTACTACTGACTTTTAAACGTGTTTGTTTCTTTCGGTTGACTTGCGTGTATTTGGTGGACATTATATGGACATGCCTAAAAGTTAGCGCGAAATTAATGTCTATCCCTGAATTTTTCATAAACTGCCAATTCAACGGAAAGTTGAATCGACACACGAACGCTAGGCTCACTAATACAGACAGAGACAGGGAAAAGCGAGAAAAGTTGTCGGAAAAGTTCATTCGACCAGAGAGGTCGGCGAATTCTTTTAAAAAGCATCTTAATCAGCAGTAAATTCACAACTAATCAGTGGCCATATTGTTTGGACCTTCTTCAACATTTCCTTTTCTTACGGGCTCGCAATTGATCACACATTTGTAACCAGAGCAATAGCAAAACCCGCACTTCGAACCACAACCAACTTATTGCAACATAATTACAACTTGCAAGAGCTGAGGTGCATAATAAGTTCGTACACTGATGCGTATGAGCTACGCAGATAGGTCAGAGTTAATAATGGAAAAATTACCAAGGGAAATAGCGAAAAGTGAACCCAAATATGAAAGGCCTTTACAATTTATGAGAAATTAGAATCATTAGACAATATACAAAATGTTCGTACATTTCAAGTCTTTAAATGCTATGCTCGATTTTACGTTAATATTTATTGAGACATTCATCTAGTCATGTATTTTTCTTTTAAGATTTTCTTAAAGTTTTGCACATCTTCTCTCTGACCACAATGCAAATATTTTTCGTTTCTTATATCTGCAGCAATAAGAATTAAATCTAATTATTTCTAAACTATATTATCTCTCAAAATAATTGTGTTTAAATGCAAATTAAATTGCAAATATTTGGAATTTCTTTGCTACGGTTCGGGCGCTCATCTCTGCTTGAGATTTTGTCCGTTGTCTGTGGCAGCGCATTGAACTTACTTTTAATTATGCTGGCCACATGGACACGGACATTGTTTGCGCTTTGCTTGGCTCTTGGCTTAATAAATTGCAATTGTTTGCAAGCCAAACTTTGTTCTCCCCTTCGTTGGCCCAGTTTAGTTGCTTCCCCGACTACTGGCTGTGTGGATTTTGTAATTGGTTTGGTCTGCATTTGACAAAAGGAATGAAATAAAAGAGTCCGAGAAAAAGAAAAAAATGGCATCGAGCGCAAGAAAGTTTAGCATTATGCCCAGCGACGGGCAACAAACAAAGTTTTCGCAAACATTCAGTCGCAGGGAGACCGATTTTTTTTCGTGTGCGGTTAACGAAGCAAATAGAAAAATGTTCCAAATGTTGTGGAGCGACCCCGAAACCAAAGTCAAATATTTGCCGAAAGTTCCATAAACCAAATGGCCAGACAGTCAGAAGTTGGAACAAACTCTCTCTGATTTCCCCATTTAATAAGCAATTGTTGTACATCCAAGAAAAGTTGATTAAAATAACAAAAGCCGGTTCCCAAAATCCAAAACGAAAGAGAAACTATTTGCATATGGGAAAGCCTGCGAGGGCGGAGCCTGATAAAAATTGTCTAAATTATAGGAAAATAACGATATGCTGGTCACTGATATGCAACAGACACGCTGCCAGACAAAGTAAACAAACAAGCTTGACATGAGTGCATCCAGCCAGGGTGAAAGGTCTTCTCAAAAGCAGATAGCAAACCGAATTCCCAGAAAGCAGGAAGACCGGAGAAGCCGGGACCACATTGTTTGCGTTTGCTTTTTCATGCTCTCATACACTTGAAAATCAGGACTTCTGCATTTCCAAAATATATTTACGATATTAATTATAAAAATGAATTTTTTTAGAAAATAATTTAAAACAAGAAAGGAAAGCTAACTTCGGGCGGAGCCGAAGTTGATATACCCTTGCAGAATACTCTGTAAATTATATTCTCCAAAATTATTCATATGATGCATTCTTAATACTCATAAAAAATCCGAACTTCCTAACTTTAACAACAACAAAGTTATGGCATTTCCAATCGTTCTGTTATATGGCAGCTATAGGATATAGTCGGCCGATCCTTATGAAATTTGATAGGTCGGATTGATTGGCCAAAAATAAAATCCATAGAAAATCCCAACTTCCTAACTTTACAAACACCAAAGTTATGGCATTTCCGATCAATCAGTTATATGGCAGCTATAGGATATAGTCGGCCGATCCTTATGAAATTTGGTAGGTCGGATTGATTGGCCAAAAATAAAATCCATAGAAAATCCCAACTTCATAACTTAACAAACACCAAAGTTATGGCATTTCCGATCAATCAGTTATATGGCAGCTATAGGATATAGTCGGCCGATCCTTATGAAATTTGATGGGTCGGATTGATTGGCCAAATATAAAACCCATAGAAAATCCCAACTTTCTAACTTTACAAACACCAAAGTTATGGCATTTCCGATCAATCAGTTATATGGCAGCTATAGGATATAGTCGGCCGATCCTTATGAAATTTGGTAGGTCGGATTAATTGGCCAAATATAAAACCCATAGAAAATCCCAACTTTCTAACTTTACAAACACCAAAGTTATGGCATTTCCGATCAATCAGTTATATGGCAGCTATAGGATATAGTCGGCCGATCCTTATGAAATTTGGTAGGTCGGATTGATTGGCCAAATATAAAACCCATAGAAAATCCCAACTTCCTAACTTTACAAACACGAAAGTTATGGCATTTCCGATCAATCAGTTATATGGCAGCTATAGGATATAGTCGGCCGATCCCGGCCGTTCCGACTTATATACTGCGTGCAAAGGAAAGAAGGGTGTGTGCAAAGTTTCAATCCGATAGCTTTAAACTGAGAGACTAGTTTGCGTAGAAACAGACAGACGGACAGACGGACAGACGGACAGACGGACATGGCTATATCAACTCAGGAGGTGATCCTGATCAAGTTATATACTTTATAGGGTCGGGATGTCTCCTTCCTTTCACTTTTGACCAAAATTATAATACCCTCTGCAAGGGTATAAAAAGGAAACTTAAACTGTCTGAATAGGAAGCAATATTTTTTCAACAACCATCGGCAAATTAAGAAGCTTGTCTTTATGTGTACTTCTACAAACTGGGTTCACTTGACCAACGAAAATATTTGGTTAGAAGACGAAACACCAAAAAAAAGATATGGAAAGAAACAAAGAAAGCTAAACAAATGCTGACTCGGCAACCGCAAGTAATAGGCCAAGTCTGGACGGGAGTCGAGGTAACAAATAATAACCGAGCACTTTCCTCTTCCGCTCGGCACTTCTTTCTGTCTTATTCCTGTCGGACTGGACATGGAATTGTTTAAATTATTTACACAAGCTGGAAAATTAAAATGGACAGCTGCTGTTCGGGGGCAGAAAGCAGTAGAGCAGTCATTGTTATGACTGTTGCAACTGCTTGGGTCAAGTGTTGTGTGTTGTGGCACGTACTGTACATGGGTGTGGATTTTGTGGAGTGGACTGGACTGGACCAGTAACTGACCGAGCTGTAGTTCATAACTTTTCATTTTGGCCCTTCTGTGCCACTCCTTCACTCAGTCTTTAGGGGTTTATCCTTTGTGGCAGGCAAATTTTAATTATTACCAGGCAGCCGGGAAAAGGTCCGATTCCGAATCTGATACTATGCCTGAGTCTGAGTTTTATGAGTTTGATTGCTCTCGGGTCCGCAGGCATTGCGTATGCGTAATGCGTACGTCTGTATCTAATTGAAAAAATCAAGCATTGCCATGTTGTGCCATTGTTTTTGACGAAGCACAAGTTGGCAATTGGATGGCAATAACGCACAGCTGCTGCTAAATAGTGCACACATTTCTTTGGGCCAACAAAGACGGACAAGTGACGTAAAAAGAACTAGTAAAACGAAGAGTACACTGTTAAACCATATCTTAATGAAAGATATACAAAAAAAATGTGTACAAAAGGTATGGATAAATATTTAACTGATTATGGAGTTATGGATATAAACTAAAATAAAATATCTGTATTCAAAGTCAAAATATTAACATATATAATAAAATATAATGTCACTACATTCACATTTTGCTTTTTACTTTTTATTCAACACAATTTTACAAAGTAAAATAATCGTAAATTTCAGATGGTGCATCAGGAAATTTCTCATGGAAAACTTGCTCAATAATATAATATTTGGCATAAATACCACCACCTGGGGGTAGATTTGGTATATTACTGGCCATTCTTTTCATAAGGCGAATAAGAACTTCAAAGTCGGTTATTTCATGTTTCTCAATGATTTGTCTTGTTAGTTGAGCAACAGTTTTATCAAGATTTGTTTCGGCCTTAACGGCATCCTTATTGATTACCGGTGCACCCGGCAAAAGTACGAGGAGCATGGTCATATTATCCCTGCTGCCCTTGTGCAGGCAAATGTCCATAACGCTGTTAACAATCATCGGCAGGTTATCGGTCACGAAAAGACGCGAGCCAATGAAGTCACAAACTTCGGAACTGGTCATCACGTCCCAAATGCCATCGCAGGCAATTATTATAAACTCATCATCTTCGCTACGCTGGCAAACTGTAATATCTGGCTCTGGCGACACCAACTGATCGATAACCGACCTAGAATTATCACTCTTGAAGTCAAAGTCACCCAGGGCCCGTGAAACTGCGAGGGTGCCGTTCACTCGTTTTATCATCACATTTCCACCGGCATTCTGAATACGTTCCATCTCCTTCGGATAATATGGCTTATGGTCGACGGTGCTGATGGAAGCTTGTCCATGTCGCGATATTACAGCCCTCGAATCACCGCAGTTGGCCAAATAGATATTCTCTGCCGAAATAAAAACACAGATGGCCGTCGAACCCCCTGGCTTATCCTGATATATCTTCCTCATATCCTCATCCAACTGCAGAAAACCTTCTTTTATCCCAGCGTCAAATCTTTGCGTCGCAAAAGCTTCGGATGTTATTATAGTATCCAACAGGTGCTCGGCGCAATGCAGTGATATTCTATTTCCTGCATGACCATCGAATACCGCAAAATACGACCAGTCTTCAAAAGGTTCCTTTAGTCTGCAAACAGCCGAGTGGGCATCTTCCATTTCCAATCGCCAGCCTTGCATGGAACTCACGCAGTATCGAAGTCCATTTCCGTCACCCTCACTCACTTGCTTTCCCGTTTCTGGTTTCTCCAAAAAGCCACCCATATTAAGACTTTCCCGACAGCTCCCTAAAATTTGTAAGAGTTTATATGAGTACTTTGGAAACTTTTATTTCAAGATTTGAACTCTTTTGCATTGTATTAACTGAAATTATTGGCCTACCTAGATTATGTCAGATTTTACTAATATTCCTTGAAGAGAAAAAAATCTTAATAATAATTTTAAGATCCGTTAGAAATGATATAAAATATTGTATTTAAAATTACGATACTTTTAATACCGGCTTAAATAATTTATTAAATTAAGGATGTTACAAAATTCTCAATAAAAACTTTCCTGATTAAATAAAAATATTCCTGGGTTAGCTATTTTCTTTGCCACATTTCATCTCTGTGTAGGCTCAACTCCTGGTGCCTGGAGTCTCTAACATTCATTCCTGCGAGTGCAAGTTATTGCTTTTGCACATTTCAGGAGTCTTTGGCGAGGCTCAATTAATCGATGACAATTCAATTAGCATCGAGTCCATAAACACACAAAAGATCCCCCATTCACTCATGGCTCTACCTCGAGGATGACTTCAATCTGCAGCACCCGAAACTTTGGATTACAAGCATCCTTGGACGCTGAACTATCAAATAGTCTAACAGCTCGGTGTGGGAATTGAATGGCCATAAGAAAAGTTTACCGTTTAATTGGACAGGCAAATAGGCAGCACGGAACGGGAGGGGAGGGCGGTACTGACTCGTTGAGAGTCAAAATGTCAGTTAGTTCGTTTCCCCGACACTGAGAGTAGTCGTCGGTCGCAATCTGCCAAACAATGAGCTAAATTTTCCATGGAAAACTACTAAGTAAGCTTGTTAATTAAATACGCATTACCGCCCCTGTAATTGCCAGTGACGCGCTGCTTAGCAACAACTACACCTACTAATGAAATCGGGAAGGCAGAAGGTGCGGAATGGGGTGAAACTCTGGAGAGATTGGATGGGGAGGACACAAACTAATTGCTCAAGTCAAGTGCAAAGTTTCAGGACCGTTACCAACTCAGGTTCCAACCCTGAAATTGCCATGCACTCGTCGATGTGTCATGACAAAACTGCGAACAGAAAGTAATATGATATAGGTGCGTTCCAGAAATCTCATTATTTTTAAAAACATTTTGTACAAACATTTAAATAGTAGAATATTTAACTTTGTTTTTTGCAAACAAGTGTAGCTTCAATTCAGAAGTTTAAAGTTAATATTTCGCAAATCGTACTAAGGTTTTGCAACATATCCATTCACCCGCTGACGCATAGGCATATTCCACGGAAAATGCATTTTAAAATCAAATATGAACTTAATGATCCTTGCAAATCACGCGACTTGGTAACGACAGACGGCAATTAATTAGCGCATAATTCATTCCCACCGAAATGCATGATGAGCGACCTATTTTCACACACAATTCCACGTGCAAATCATCAATCACGACCATCCAGAAATGAGTTGCGGAATGCATCAAGCTCAGACTAAATGCCGTCGCAGCAAAAAAAGGTTAATGGGTTGAAATATCAACATCAACATCAACTCGGGTCGTCTACGTCGACGTCTGCATCGCTGCTTATTGTTTGCATTGTTTTCCTGCGGGCAAAAAACCAAAGGAAGGTGGACAAAAACGGGGCTCACTAAGGGGCTAAAATATGCGCACACCGCAGGTAAATGTTGGTAATTTGTGACTTGGAATGTTTTTCAGCGTCTGCTTTAGCGTTCCTGCAAAGTTTTACGGCAGCGACCTCTTCTAACACGACACTCGCCCATTTAACGCTTTATGGCATTGGATTTATGCTATGCGATATGCAAAGAGGCAATTGCATGCAAATGCCAGCCAAAGCAGCGGAATTTGCCACAGGAAACTGAAATAAAACTGGGCGGGAATATTGAATTGCCTTCTGAATGCAACAAAACACAGCGAAAATATCACTATAACGGAGCGAATTGAAATCTGGTGTTAAGAGCTTTGACAAATCGTACAATTGAAAATAATGTCGCGTAGTTTCAGTTTAGAGAAATATACTAATTTTGCCATTAGACGTTATACCGATAACATACTTTACTTTTTTCATTTAAAAGTTGTTTAACAAGTAAGTTTTTTCATTTGTTTAATTTTACCATTATTTTGTAGTGCACAAAAGTTTATCGAAAAAGTAAAACAAAGATAAAGTTATATTTAGTTTAAATAGTTCTTAACATTTCTAAAATGTTAACTTTTTCCTAATTACACAAGAAATTATTAAATTCAATTTATTAAGTTCATTAGTGTGAAACGAGGTACATTTTTGTTTCCATTTTCAAAGCTCATCGGACCGGAGTTCATCTAAGTTAAAACACTCAATTAAAGGCAACAAATTATCCACTTTTAGTTAGTTTTATCAGAGCGCTTCAGTTTAGTGGAGAGTTTAATCATATCTGGCTCTATTGTCCCACCCGATGCTTGTTTTTACCGACCCAAACCCCTTTTTGGCCAACTCGGGTGTCCTTAAGCTGGACCAGAGCGGAGTTGTGCGCTTTTATTTACCCCTTTGGCTTTTGCTTTGGCTTATACAAGTGTGGCTCTTTTTCACCCCACCTGCAATCGACCTGCATGTTATTCATGGCTAAACACACACCTGCACACCCACCTTAACCGACCTCAAACCGCGACCCCCGTACCGCTCGACCCTTGACCCCTGCGCCATACAACTGCCAACTGCCAGACCAACAATTTTCTAAACTCGCGCGCTGCGCACGTAATAAAAAATACGGCAGCTGGGGAAAGGTTGTTCAGGGGGAGGATTCCGTGGGGGTGGTAAGTGGGCAGTGGGCGGTGGGCGGAGGCTGACTGGCGCGCTAAGCTGTGCTAAACATTCCCTAAATATATTTTGCAACAGCTCCTCCACACACGAGATAAGCGGCGTACATACCACACCGACCTGAACCTGAACATGAAGATAGTGTGGGTGGAAAAGGGGCTCGAAAATGGGGCGGAAAAGCGGAGGAAAAACTCAGGTTAAAAGGGGGAGGGGCTAAGAGGCACTAAGAGAGCGCTCAGAGAACACAGCACACCGAGCAATGAAACTTTTTGCGCCTGAATATTTTTGCAAAACTATTCACAGTTGATTTTTCACCTGATGCTTTTCATCCTTGTGTCTCTGCCAGTGTGTGTGTGTATGGGTGTGTGTATGAGTGCTTAAAATATTTGAGCACCATGCGCACGGTCGAAAATATCCGACTATCTGGCCAGCAGAGTTCTGGCCTCCTTTTGGGCCCAACTTAAATGCACCTGCCATGGCAGCTGAATTTTTCCGATAGGTTAGCCCTTTTTCCTCCGACCGGATTTGTACAGATTTACTTGTAATTATTCTTCTGCACAAACCAAAGGAATTTAACCAGAGGAATCCCCAGAGATGTTAAATTTGGAAGAGGGTATAAAGAACGGAACAAGACACATTTAAAATAGGGAATAAAAACAGTTTCACTTTACGTATTGTTCAGCATAAGAAATTAAAGTTATTTAACTTAATTTAATGTATTTTAGTTAAAATATATTTACTATATAATACAAAATAGAGTGTAAGATTAAAGGGAATTCATCGGTGATCTTAAGTTCTAAAATGAAAGAATGTAATAAATGTGATAGGTCGAACTAAGTACAATTAAGAGCTTATTTAAATTTGGCAAGCCTTAATAAAATTAAACTGATTTATTTTTCTTTTTGTTTTTAAATCTTAAAAAATAGTTTTCTTTAAAGTAAAGGTTAATCCTAATTAGTTGTAGATATATGCAAGAAAATAAAAAGAGTTTAATGTGACATCCAGGTCGAACTTTCGTAGGTAGTTTACTCACAGAGTTTCTTTACCAGTTTGCTACTGTAGTTGAAATCCCCTTTGCATGCATGTTTGCCTCTGGCTCATTATGAAAATGACTTTAAGCCCAACTAACCGTGTGCAATTGCAGATACGGACTTCTGGGCGCCTCTGGATGCGGGAAAACAACGCTGCTCAGCTGCATCGTCGGACGACGTCGACTCAATTCTGGCGAGATTTGGGTGCTCGGCGGACGACCTGGATCCCGTGGTTCCGGTGTACCGGGTCCCCGGATTGGCTATATGCCACAGGTGAGTTGACCTCGGTCGAGCTGCGTCTGCTGTTTTCCACCTGCCTTCCTTTTCCATCCACCTGCCAGCTCCTGAATTTTTCATGCGTTTTTTATTACCCACTGCCAGAGGCGACTAAATTAAATAAACGCAATAAAATGGTGAAAGCACAAAAGAAAACATATACCCAGCAAAGTTTTAAATGCCGGCCTCACACAGAGATGGAAAAAACTTTTAACTCTCACAATCCATAAGCATAACTCAACTCCACTGCATTTAATTTTGCTTGCACCATAGAGGTGCCAATTTAAATGAAATTCTTATCCATTATTGGTAGAAAAAAACTTTAAACATACATTTTTGAGTTATCTCCAGTTTAGCAGGAGTTTAAAAGATAAGTTATTCATTTTTATTCATTTTTCTTCATAGCTTTTTTTTTTTGTTTTTTAATAATTAGACTATGAAGCAAAATATGAAAAACATGAATTTTGGTCTGAATAAGACAAGCATAACTAAAGAATAAAGACTATTTTACAGCGAAATAAACCCAAATTGGCATCTTCCACTGAACTCTGCTCGGCTCAGTTGGGTCATAAACCAGCGGAGCCGGAAAGTTGGCAGGACTTTTTAGGGGAACTTGGGCGGACAGGGTATTGTGCCGGTGAAAATATATATAATTTACGTATTCCAATTTGGGTTTATTGCAGGAGATAGCCCTTTACGGCGAGTTCACGATGCGTGAGACCTTAATCTACTTCGGCATCATTTCGGCCATGCCCAAGAGCGACATCGAGGATCGCACCGAATTCCTGCTCAAATTGCTCAATTTGCCAAATGCCTCAAAATTTGTCAAGAATCTGAGTGGAGGACAACAGCGACGAGTAAGTTTGGCTGTGGCCCTGCTCCACGAACCGGAGCTCCTCATCCTGGATGAGCCCACGGTGGGCGTGGATCCCGTTTTGCGACAGAGGTGAGTCCTGACCCTAATGATTGTTACACTGAAAGT